GGCCGGGGAGGTGACAGGGGAAAGCACCCAGCCACGGGGGTGACACATGGACAAGAGGTCGGGGCTGGGAGGGGACGGGTGTCCGGGGAGGTGACAGGAGGGTAAGGGAGTCCAGGACGTGAGAGAGGGACTAGGACACAGGTGACAGGCGGACAGGATGGCCAAGCCACGGGGATGACAGGTGGATGGGATGGCCTGGCCGGGGAGGTGACAGGCAGATGGGTTGACCAGGGAGGTGACAAACAGACAGGGCGGCTGGGACAGGGAATTAACCAATGCATGGGATAGTTGTGGAAGTGACGAGTGGACGGGGTGACCAAGGAGGTGACAAGCAGCCAGGGTGGTCAGGCCAGGGAGCTGAGCGGCAGACACGATGGCTCTGGAGGTGACGGGATGGCCAGGGAGGTGACAGGACAGGCAGACTGTGGAGGTGATGGATGGATGGGGTGGCCAGGTCAGCGAGGTGACAAGTGGACAGGACGGACAAGTCAGGGAGGTAACGAGCACATGTGACAAACAGGCCAGGGAGGTGACAGGCATTCGGGATGGCCAGGCCAGGGCGGTGATGGTTGGATGGGACAGGAGGACCAAGGAGGTGACAGTTGGCCAGGATGGCCAGGACAAGGAGATGATGGGCAAAGGACCAGCCAGGCCAGGAAGGTTGGACAGGATGACCAAGGAGCTGACAGCCAGATGTGATGGCCAAGCCAGAGGGGTGACAATTTTCAGGTGGCCTTAGCAGGCCCAGGGAAGGGACAGCTTGACCAAACACTGCATCTCCTTGTGCTACGGACATCCTGGGTGAGGGGACACCGGGGACACTCCGGTCACTGTAGCAGGCCCCCATCACCACGACCTCGTGACAGAGGTGAGACCCATGGTGGCCGGGGCAGGCCAGGTCGGGGACGTCCCCATCCGCTCCGACGTTGCTGCTGGAGGCGGCAGGCGCCGAGGAGGCCGCATCGGAGGCCGCATCCCGTGAAGTTGCTGCCGCTCATTGTCTGCTGCTTTTTTGTGTGCGCGTGTGTGTGCTTTTCCCATTTGCTTTTGTGCCTTAGGATGGGCGAGGGGGAGGGACTTGCTAATGTGTTTCAAACAGAAACTTTAAACCATCAAAAGCTTCACCCACGCCCAGAAATAGTCACTTGGCTGAAAGACAGAAAGACAGCGGCTTTATGCTGGATTTTTTTTTTTTTTTAACTGGAGGATTATTTCCTTGAGAAGCGCCTTCGCAGGGGGATGTTCAACGTGGGGACTTGCAGCCCCTGAGTTTTGCTCGGATTTTGTTCCTTGTTTTTGCTCTTTAGGAGTTGTATCTCCTAGAGCAGGACCTTAGATGCCTCCAGCTTGCAGAAAGGCACCAAGAAAAAGCCGATCCTGGGGTACTGGGAGAGCAGCTGAGGTCGGGGAGCTCCTTTGGGTCGCGGGGTCCTCGTGTCATCCCTCTGTGCTCCGGCGCTCCGGAGGGATGTGCCGCTTGCTTCCCGTGCTGGTGTTACCTGCACCCGAGCATCCCCTTTGCAGCTGATGCTAAATTATGGACGATAAGTGGAGCTGGGGCTGCGCAGGCATGGCCTTAGCAATGGGGCTCCTGATGTCCAAATCCTGCCAGGGAATTTTCCTCCCTCTGTATCCGTAGGGGACGTGGGGGCCGCAGCAGTCCCTGGGGAAGGGAGCCCGCCCGGTTGGCGGAGCTCAGGCACGGCCGGCTGCGCCTTCCTGCTCGCTCGACCCGAGGTAACGGCGCGCGTTTGTGCAGGGAGTTATTGCCCCTTCTGCAGTCTGTGTCAGACTGAGCCAAACCTGCAGGCGGGCGCCGAGCGTCGGCAGTGCCGCTCTGTGCGCTCATGCTCGGCAGAGCCCGGCACCGCTCTAGGAGCGGTTTCCAAGACTAAACAGCCTCTCCGGGAAAGCAAAGCGACATTACCTGCCTCCGTTAGCTTTGCTGGACAGTGCTTTTTTTCCAGGGCGGGAATGGGATGCTTTAAAAGTGCTTCCTCTTACTTCTCCAGGTGTCTCGAGCTGAGCTGGAACACTGATCCGTGAGCCCCTTCGGAGGCCTGTGCGCTCCCGACGCGTCCGTCTGGTCCGTCCCCCGCCTGCTGCCCGGCTCTGATGGCACGAGCGTAACGAGTCCTCGCACCATGCACAGTAAGGACCTGCCCATGTCTTTTTCTGCCCCATAAGTTGCAAAAGGGCTTTAACCAAAATTTAACAAAAGCACAGGAAGATGCAGTCTGTTGTCTGGTTGCGGCATGTGTTAGGCAAAGGCGAGTGAAAAGTTTGGACATTACAAAAAAACAATGGGCTGATTTGTGCTGTTTGGCTCTGGGGCAATTCCTTTGGGATCCCTGGGGTCATGTCGGTGGTAAGGGAGTGGAGTTTGGCTCTTGCCAAGTGGTTTATTGGCTTTCATTTTTCATTTAGCCGAAAATAAGAGGCGGGGGGAAAATTCAAAGAAGTATTTGGTGTGGAAAGCAAAAGAAGTTGAAACCGTCCCGAGCACTCCCTGTTCCACCACTCTCCCTCCCTCAGAAGTGTCCATGTCCCATCGCAGAGCTGCTGTGCTGGTCACCCATGGCAATTGTCACCTCCTGCAGCCAGGCTTGTTTGTTGAGATCCAAAGGTTGTTGCATCCCGGGATCCCTGGGACTTCCCGGCACTGCTGACACAAGCTGTAGCGAGTGCATGAGCCTCTTACCAAAGGAGCCCAAATTAGCTGCATAATCATTCCTGTGTTCAGCACCAAATGCCAGAGAACCTGTTGCCAAGACTGAAATTTCTCATTTGATCCGATTAACCTTTGTGTCCGCGCAAACAACCAAATATTTGTCATCGGCTGAACATGTGCTGGAGGGTCTTGTCAAAGCTCCTCGGCGCTTGCTTTGCAGCAGGCAGCTCCCCTTCGCGCGCAGCGAGCCCCGTGTCGAGGCTGCCGTCATGTCTCTGTGGCCATGGGGTCCCGCTGGCCCCATGCCTGGGCTCCTGGCTTGTTTTGCCAGGCCATCGTGTCAGCTGCCCCCCGAGCAGCTCTCTGCAGTGAGTATCACTCTCCTGAGCAGGCACTTGGCACCCAAGGGTCGGCGCTTGGGCTCTCAGGTGGCTGTTGGGGCTGCCGAGCGGCGCGTTGGCTGCCGGATCCGCAGGCAGCGCCTCCTCCGTTGAGTTGGACGATGCCAACATGCCAATTTGTGGAAGGGTTTGGGGGCGAAGAGTCAACTCTG